TCTTTCCCTTGTCTTCAATGAGCTGCTGAACAGACTCCAATAAAAAAGAAAAGGCCTTGTAGCTGAAACTAGGTGACTAGACGCATGTTTTTTTCCTTGATAGGTCTTAGGTTCTAACTGTGATATTGAGTATTGGATTTAGCTTCTGAGTCCCTTGGAAGACCATGGGAATAAGAATTTTCACAGGGATGCTGCAAAACATTAAATAATTAATGGAAGGGATTATGGCAGTGTTGAATTAAGATGATTGATGGGTTTTCTCCACCTCTGCTTTTAAGAGTTTGAATCCAAATAGGTGTTTTGTGTTTGAATCTCTATAGAAAGAGCATTCATATAAATGCTCCCAGATAATCCCCAGACTGCAGACCAGATTCTCAGAGTATGTCAAAGCAGTTAAATTATTCTACTGGAGTTATACCAGCTGGGGCCAGGGTCCAGAATGTGTATGCTGAGGGGAGAAAAATGTTGAGCAGTTCAGAGCTGGAAACTTTGGGGCCCCAAAATTTTTGTCTGTGGGTTTCCAGCTGACATGAAATAATCTATAAGAAGTTTCAGTTGTGTTTTTTTTTTTTTCCCCCCACAACTGTCCCAGGCAGAACCAAGAATTCTAAGAACAAAACAACTGAAAGACTTTGCTTCCCCCTCCCTCCCAAGTGTAGTATTTCTAACCCTGAAAAATTCCTTTACTGAGTAAAAAAATCCAAACCAGCGCATCCATATGGGGCTAGGAGTCAAAGAAACATGAAGGCTGAGAGGTCATCTAGTGTAACCCCCTACTAGTTCCTACTAGATCCTGTTGTTCATCTGATCGTGCACAGTGCCTGACAAGTGTGGAGACTGAGAAACTGGAGCAAGAGTACTTACCTAATTCTGCCAACCTGCAGCACTCAAAAATATCTGAGAATAGTTGTATATTCTGTATAGACTCTACATATTATGTTGCTGGCATGATTTATGGATGTGGTTGTCACACATACCTTAAGCTTGCAAGCGAGTGTATGGTGTGAGCAGTATTCCCTGAAAACCTCAATTCCTCACAAATAATTGCTTTGGTAGAAGACTAAAAACCTACACTTACAAGGTGAGGGCATACTGCCTCGTAATACTGGGTTCTTCATGGTACTTCCCAGTCAGTTGTGCTCTAATCATACCTGCTGTGCTGCTCTTTTCTTCCAGTGAATTTTCTTGAATGATCTGAGAAATATTATACCTACAGCTTGCATGCAGTAGGAGTCCGTATGCAAAAAATTCCTATTAACTTTAATGCATACCCCAGCAGGGAAGAAGAGGCCATTCATTTAGGACAAACTATGCCTGTTTGCATAAAGTACTGGAGTGTCTTTTCTTTGCATAAGCTGACTGAAAGCAGGAAGAGGAAAGTTCCATTAAGGCTTGCTTTGGCCCGATAAATTGCTGTTGCAAAAATCTAGTTCTTCTACAATAACTTGTATGTCCAGTAGATCATGCTGTACAGTATGCATATAACATACAATGCATATAATTCCCACTGATTCAGGCAAATGTAGTTATATGGTTTTATGAGGGTCCTTAGCTGGTGAAGGTTAAGAGACCAGCTTGGAGTTTCCATGCTAATGCAATTACTGTACAATGTCTTACACGTTACACAAACAGTAGCATGGCTTAAATGTCTGGATATTACCAATGAAAAATTCCCCTGCTTTAGGGAAGCTCTCCATCAGCAGAAAGTTCAGCTAATAGTAGTCAGAGTCTTGTGATCTGTAGGTTTAGGGAGGCAGGGAGGAGACACCGTCAGCAGAACATAAGTGCAGCCATTCTGAGTCAGACCCATGGTCCATACAGCCCAGCATCTTGTTGCTGGCTGTGGTCATACTAGGTCATAGTGGCCTTGAGAAGAGCCTGAGAATTCATCAAGCATCTGTGAGGCTTCTCTTGAGTACGCCTGTCCTCCAGCCACTTGAAGCTGTAAGACTTCCCTGGCTAGACAAATTTTCTATGAATTTAGAAGCCCTTAATGGTTTTCTCTACTATGAACGTGTCTGGCCTCCCCTGGAGTCCATCTGCTTTAGCAATTCCAAAAGTGAAATCTCTCGTTTCTGTTTAAGCTGTTCAAACAGTGCCCATGGGATTGAGTAAGCCCAAGGAGGTCACTGCTTCTACGTACTGTTTCAAGTTCTGCATAGAAGAATACTAGGGCTGCTAACTTCTTCCCCTCCTCCAAAGAGAGTGCTTGCTCTTGTTTGTGGCAGTATTTGCGGTACATTTACAGCCATGGTAACTAATATTCTTAAGACTACTTCCTTCTGAGGTTCATAAGCCTTGTGTGGAACAAGTTTGGAAATCTTTGAGAAAACGTTACACACACAGATATGCACGCACACTCTGTGCCCCAAAAATGCAGACTCATCTAATAATAAAAAAAGGAAGAAATGATTCTATTTTTTTTTTTTAATTAGGGAGATGCCTTAAATCTAGGGCAAAATTTGAAGACCTGATAACAATCAATAAGAGAGAAAAAGATATGCACGCACACACATGCACACAGCTGATGCAGAGAACCAGAATCGTTTTCCTTTTCTACTTAACTCGGACTCTATTTTTGCTCTTGCTCTGAGTTTTTCATGGTAGAATTTTGGTTTGAATCCTAATTTTGGGTGGAATCTGAATCCACCTTCAAAAACCATGTCAGGTTCAAAGAAGAATCTGTAATCTCAATGTCTTCTTCACAGAATCTAAACTCGGTTCATTTTGCTTAAATCCTCCAAAGCCTGTACAAAACTGAAGCATTCTCATACATGTTCTTATAGACTTCATCCACAGGGTGTAGTAAGGCTTTATGAGCCTTTCATTGACTTTCATACCTGGACCATCTCATGGCTGAAGCATAGGAACTGTTGTGTTCCTTCAGCTCGCATGGAGAGTTTGGAGACTGAAAATAAGTACTTTGTTCAAGAGAAATGAAATTCACAGCATCCACCTGGGGCCAGGTGCATAAAAGTCTTGCATCAGTTATAACAAAACCTAATTTAAGAATTGGATCGACTTACTCTGATAGCACACGTAGCTTTTCTCCTACATGAAATATAGGTTGGCTTATGTCTGCTGAGGGATAATCATAGAGGACAGCAAGGAAATCACTCTCCTGGCCTGTTAAAGAAGAAAGAAAAAGCCACTTAAAAAATGGTAAAGTTCTAAAGAAGAAATAGTTTTTTTCTTTGTTCTATTAGTTGTATTTTAAATAATAGATCATACGTGGAAAAAATGTCACTCTAAAGTGTCAGTCTGTAAACCTCAAGAGCCTATAGCTTTGTAAGAAGAGGGTAAAGATATTAGAAATGAAAAAGAGGCTTTTGATTAATTAGAAGTAAATAATTTTAGATTTCTTTTCTAGTAACTACCATATTTAAAGAACATACTCAGTCTGAAACTAGCAAAATGAGTAAGTATCCATAGTATTGGGAAGTAACCCAGTCTAATTAATACCACCGTCTAAATGTCTTCAGCTACAATTTTGAGCGGTGCTGATGCATGGCATTTAATGAAAGGAAGATGTGTTGAATGATTCAATTGTTTAACATCGCTGATACTTTTCAAAGATATTAAATTAGTTTAGATTAAGGGCAATGAGACAGAGGTCGTTATTGTTTATTATTGCCCATTTCCCATCAGCTTTGTAAATTAGCTTTATGAACAGCCAGCGAGATTTGCTCTCTACGCTTATATGGAAACTATCCTAAAGATGGCACATGATGCATCCTATCCTCACTTTCAGAAGAAAGGTAAAAAGAATTTGTACACAACTGCAATTTGGAGAGCTAACTTCAGTAAAGAGATAGGAAGGCCTTTTAGATCAGTTAAGAATTGAATAGAAATTAATCTTTAGTGAGAATTCAGCTGCCAAATATTCTTGCTGATCAAGAATTCCTGTTAAATATCACTGGTGGAGGCATAGGAAAGTCATGCTCAAGGGTTGGGTTCATATTTCAATATCTTTACTCAAAGATGATAATTTCTGCAGAAAATGTATATGACTGAAGAATAGTCTATAAGTCAATGAAGTCCTCAGAGGTGTGAGTAGATGTCGCAAATTTACTTTATTTGCTTTGAGATGGAGCCCTGAATCCTGATCATGGGCACATCAGATGAATGCACAGATGACTGCTGAATATCTGTATTGGTTATCTCTGTAATTGCAAACATCTCAAGGTTTCAGGTATAGCCTGATATAGAAAAGTGTAACTTGCGGTAAGTTGAAGCTCTGTGTGGTGTGGAGCTGTCTGCAGCCCTCAGGAGACCTGAGAGTGCAGTCCAATGTTTGGGGCTTGCAACCCTGCGTAGGACACATGCAAAGTCACTTGGGTGACTTCCTGAGGGCTGGAGGGGTGCTTGAACACTTTATAGTTCAAGTTCCTGTGCAGGGTGCACCACTGGGAAACCATGGGAGCTATAAAGCGTTCAAGACTTTCTCATCTGTTGGGGGTCTGCAGAAAATACTGAGAGGTGGGAGGTTCACAAGACAACACACTGGGTGTTTTGAGCTCTTTGGCAGAGAGGTCCTCTACACGTGGTACCGCCCTTTCCTGGCACAAGAAGGGACAGTGTTTGCCTTCTACCTCAAGCAGGAATAGCATGCCATTTGCTGGTCATACCATGTGCCAGTGCATTTGCAGTGATTGTCAGCTCTCCGTATATGTCCACTTGCTGCAGCTCAGCATGTGCAAATATGGGAAATGACTTCTGGGGAGCAGAGAAAGAATTTACCTAGGGAAATGGACACGTCTGTCTTATTAGGTTATTTATAGATTCCTCTTCAGATTATCTTTTTTAAATTAATTGTTTAGTGAAATCTAGAAACTCCATCCAGAATGAAGGCTGAGACTGGGCCTGTGTTTTCAGCCTCGATATCTTATGGCTTTACAAATAACACACATTGATATATTGATAGTGGTGGAAGGCTGGAGGAAGCGTGCAAGCCTGCAGAAAAGAAATATTGCCAAGAGGAGGAGAACACATATAGTGATCCTTACAGCAGTCATAATGAAAATATAAATGATGAGGAAAATATTCCACATCTGTGATTTAAAAGAACTAAAAAGCTAATTTCCATGTTAATTTTGGGTAGCGGTTTGTTCTTACGATATAGAGACTGGAAATAAGCAACGCAGTGAGTGACTTTACATGACTATGTTCAAAATGACTGTACGCCTGTCTAGTTTGCTAACCCTTGCTCATAGAGCTAGCCCTACAATACAGCCAGCATCCACCCTTATGGATGCACAGAAGTGTAGACTCTGGAGTTGTCATGGATTAGTTTGTCAGTGTGTGTTTAGTATTAATATTACCTGGGTTTTCTTAGTTATTTAGTATCACTCAATTAGGCAGGACTTGTCCAGTACCTACGTATTACTCAGTCGAATGCCAGTAGGTTAGTCTGCTGTAACCTATTATATAACTAGTTCAACCAGACTGAAGGAATTCTGTGCTGAATACGCCTTTGATTGCTTTCCCGTTATGCATTAAAAATTAAGAAACTTCTCTGTCTATGAAACTGCCTAGTAACCAAAGGCTTATGACACCTGAGTATTGGTGCTGAATGGTTTTCAAAGTAAAACCTTTTCCTGGGTCTACTAGAAATAAATGCCAGAGAGTAAATTGTGCCGACTAAAGAAAGTGCCATTCCCTAAATTCTCATTGCAAATTGTTAGAGAGCAGTCCTGCGTGGAATGCCATTTCTTTATATAGACTTAGCTTAATGAAAATGGTTTTAGCAATGCTTTTTCAAAAAAAAAAATTACACTGTTATATAAAAAATATTTTATTTCCATACTGAGAGAGCGGAAAGCAAATGCTTTTCTGCCCTCCCTCCTTGCTTACACAGTGGTTTGCATTTCGTTATGCGCTGGGAGGTGCGTGACTTTTTCTCTGCTTAGGAGGATCCGTAGTCACTTTGCTTAGACTTTCATCTTTATTTTTGTTTTTGTTTCAGTTTTGCGCGTTAATTTATAGTTCTGAAAAGGAAAGAATTAATCACATAGCATTGGCTGCCACATCCATGCAAACGTTACCTCTTAAAGTGTGTGTACTTAGAGAGAAAGTAAAGGGCTTTTGGACTGCCCAAAACCTTTCAACTCTCCCACTTCACAAATAACTAGACCTCATTTTAATTGACATTTAAATGAAACCTCATTGGGCTTTTTTTGTCAAGTAAAAAACCCTGCCACACTCTACAACATTTTGCAAAACCTAGACTCCTTTCAGATACCGAAGCTTCAAAACAGGGACTAAACAAACTACCCTCTTTCTCCACATCCAAATCTCACAGTGATCTGATAGATTTGATCTGATGGGCACTTCACACTTTTAAGTAACTTTTAAAAAAACAAAACAAAACCAAAAAACCTCTTAAAGGAACCTCTCCTCCGCAGTTTGAGTGTGTAGGTTACGTCTAAAATGGAACAGCTAAAAAGTTAAGATGGAAAAATGTAAATACAGTTATTTCCACTGAATCAGTTATTTTTTTCTTTAAGGAGTAAAAGCTGAACATGACATACAGGCTAATTTCAGGTACCCACATCCCTGGATATGTTGCAAGGTGTGATACTGGATATTGCGTGCTTCAGATAACTCATTCAGAAGCCGGGCATGGACTGTGAAGCGCTGTTAGAGGTGGGAAGCATCCAGATCCAGCCTGGGCTGCTCATAGCTCTGAAAGAACAAGCTGTGCACCGCCGTGGACCACTCTGGGGTGGGAATGAGCAGCCTGCTCAAAGCTCAGCTCCCTGCACTGTCCCAGCTCTATTTGCTAGCAAAGGTACTTTTGATTTCTTGCATGGTACGTCCTGGAGAGGAAAAGGAGGGCACTTGCACATGTCAGGAGGGTGTCTGTGCCGCAGCCGTAAGGTGTGGCTGCACAGCGGTGTTGATGTACCCAAATTAGATCTAAAGCAGCCGGTTTGGGGACTGAGAGTTACGCAGGTGCAGCCACATGCAGCTCACTGAGGACTAACCCTGACTCAGGGTCCCAAGGGAAGAAAGAGGAGTGGGAGGGCTTACGACTCCTGATAACCCCTTGCTTCTGTAGCTACCCTGTTATCTGTACCTAAATTAGGTCAGGGATGCCCATGCAGTGTGCTTTCAGTTGGAGTACTGTCATATTTGGAGTCCAAATACCTCCTGGGGAAATGAAGCTTGTGTACTGTTCCTTTTTTCAAGACCAAGCTCGGTGCGCTAGAGCTAAGAGAAAGCACAAGGCTATGTATTTAATGCAGCACGAAAGGCTTATCAGGATCTGGCAATTAAATGCATTCGTACTGCAGATTGAGCGTGCAGACTCCAATTATCTGCTTTCTTCCTTCACTTTGTATCTTCTTTTTTTTTTTTGCCCTTCTATTGCGGCCTTTCACTTTATTCTGTCACTGCTTCTCTGTCTCACTGAAATGACACAGGATAAAACCTACTTTTCCGGATAATTATTTGGAATGCTGTAAGTCTGTGGCTTGGGTCTTCCAGCTGACTTACAGTAAAGGGTGGCTCTTCCTGGGCTGGGTAAAAACTTCAGCATTTGGCAATGTGACTTAGAGTTTGATCCGCTCAGGAAGGTGAATAGTTGCAAACTCATTGCATTAACCCTGATATATGGTTTTAGTACTGTGTTCCTTTTCAGATATCTGTTTTCACGAGATCTGGATGACAGTATCGATGCTTGTGGATTCCTGAATTTGATTAAGCAATGGTTAAACCATTATGAAAGACGCCGACAGACTAAGAGTTAAACACGAAGGAGCTATATAAGCATTTAAAGCTGCCTTCAGGTCCTTGAACATAGGTATCCAGTACAATTTCAGCGGTGCGAGAGTATCTGGGGCATCCCCTGTGGCCCAAGCAGAGTGGCTGGTCTAGCTATGGGAGCCTTGTTCCCTTCTGGAGTGGCAGCTGGAGGTCAAGCAGGATGTGACAGAGCATCTCGCTAGATGCGCTAGACACATAGGAGTGGGCAAGTGGTGTTTCTGGGAAAATCAACATAGGCACACTTCCTGCAAATAAATAAATCGTTTGTGTTATGCCTCCGAGCAGCCACTAAGAGTACTTTACTAGGACCTAGGGCTATAGGGCTATCCTTGGTGATAATAGAAGTGGGGCTGCATTTCCTTCCAGCACTAGTGAAACCAGACTGTTTTCCTGTCCTCCTAAAACAGAGCAGCATAACTGGACTATCTTTATGGAAAAATCCAAGACTTGGATTAATACCTCTCCCCTTCTCCCCACAAAATTTCTATTCTGCACCTTTGGGTGCGCACCCTTGTACCAGCGGACTGTCATGTCGCAATATAAGGGCTATGGCTGTGCTTACTCTCTACCTACTCGCTTGCGTTTGGGAGTAGCAGTTCAATGAACTTTTTCCCTTCCCACTCAGACTCATGATCTCTACCAGATTACGGAGGTTTTTACGAGCTGATTTTCTCATGTGTGGGTGCATAGGACAGACGTGTTAGATCCTCTTTTGTTAGCTTGAGTTTGTGAAATGTGTTGTCTTGTATAACCTTTATTGATAACTGTAGCAACATGGAAAGTTGGCTGCATGCTAATATAAATGCAAGCATCAAAAAAGTGGACCTCAGGACCAGTGTAATCAAAATATCATTAAGGATCATAACCTTAAAACTAAGCAAAATCAAAATACAAGAACAAGTCTGTATGAAGTATTACATGAAAATACATCGACATACAGCGTTTCTTGTTTCCAAAGTAGGCCAGTGCTTTCTGAATTGGAAAGAAATGTCTTTCAAGGGATACTAGCAAGTAATAGTCTTAACGTTTCTTTTTTAATTAACTGACTTCTTGGAAAAAGAGCTAGCACATGCCTAAAAGTAAATATTGTCTGCAGGATGCCCTCCTTCTCCCACAGTAAGGTCAGGCAATTGTTTTTTCTGTGTATGTCAGATGGATGATGGAAGATTCACGGATGATTGTAGCGTACATATTGAACATCTTTTTCTCCGGAAAAAATTAAATGAGTGCTTACCCGTTTGGCTTGACATACTTGTTTCTTCTGAGGCTCTCGGTGTTTTCATAGTATTTCCCATTGCTATCTTTAATTCCGTCAAAGCTCTTCAGAACTAAATCAAAGACATTGAAATTAAACTTTAGAATTAGCACCTGCTGTGCCAACACATGAAAAATGACCCAGTTTTAGTGTCTTCAATTTTATGTAGTTTTGCTTTTGAAAGCTCTTGTTTCAAATTCATGTGAGTTTTACATATTTGCTAAACTCTCACCACTTTGGTGCTTTTATCAGGGGAATAGCAGAAAACCACAGCTAGGGAAGTTGATCAGAAGAACGTAATGTAGTAAAAGTTTCCATTACCAGTGCCCCAGCACAATAGGAAGTCACAGCAAAGCCATGCCTGTAAAGTCATTTTATATACAAAATGTTCTTCTCAACATTCGGAGTTCTGAGGTTACAAAGAAATTAGTTAGGCTGACAAATCTGTTTTTCAGCTCTGCGCGTATTATGTTATTTTATTGCTGCATACTAAGAACGTTGTTTGGTGGTTTTCTTCTGATGTAGTTGGGAACTCTGAGAACGTGGGCGATGTGAAAAAAGAAGGTAACACTTTGCCTCAAACAGTGTTTGATCTCACAACACTCTTACTGCATCAGGCCAGTGGTTCAATTTCTCTAGGATCTCATCTTACTCAAAATTTTAGAGGATGTGCAAGAAATGCTGCATTAGGCAGTCATGGAACTAATTATTGGCAGGGAAAGTTCCTTCTTGTGGCTCTTCTACACGCTTCCTAATTCTCCTTGACAAGCAGCAGAGAGCAAAACCCTGCTGATGTAAAAGGTGGTTCATGCTGTGGTATATTTTTCAGAGGCAGAAGTGAATAGACTATGCCAGCTCAAAACTGCACATTAAAGCAAAATAACGTGACACCATTAGCTACTAGCTGATGATTTTTTTTTTAAATATTTTTTTGGTAGTTTCTGGGAAAAATGATAACAGAAACTCTAGCAGCATCATATGAGTATTTACAAAACTCTGTGAACCCAGATGCAATCTACATCTCTCGACCTTTTCTAGCTTAGGTATTTCAGAGATGCTTACTGTCTTTCAGATGCTCCTCTTTGCTTACAATAGGCCTGCCTGACAATGTTAGTCTGTGTGCTGTCGAACTTGATCAGCTCTGCTGAAATCAGTGAGACCCTATTACAGAACTGTCCTTTGGAATAAGATTGTTACTATATACAATAAATAAATAAATACTATGTAAAGTATTTATTATATATATAGTATATATATAAAATATAGTATACAGTATTTATAAATACTATAAAATTTCTACATCTTACAGTGAGTTTAGTGAGATTTCCTACAGAATAAAATACAATTCAAGAGAAAGAATTCATCTCTTAGCGCTGATTTTCTTGCATTTTCTTACAAATGGCAATGCAAACTTCAGTTTGACTCCATCTCATCTAATTTTCATACTCCTTAGTTCCGATCGTAAAGGCTCTTCTCTAAAATTCCATATTCCACTGGTGCATTACATTTTTCTTCACTCTCTATATTCAAGAACTAGCTTGGGACACGTCTGTAGGGTGCAGATTTACCAGCGTCCTTCTGACAAGTGACAGAAATCAGCTTTCACAAGAACAAAAATTCTCTCTTTGTCTAATATAAGAAGTCTAGAAGCAGAATAAAAATTAACCTTAAATTTAACTAAACTATGTAGGTATTCCCTTCTGAATAAAAGAGTCTTTCTTGACAGAAAATATTAAATCATTCTCCATTTAAATACACCTAAATTTCTAATTTTCACTTCTGCAATATTTTCCCCAGTTGTATCCCACCAGGAATAAGTAGTATATACATACGGATACTGTAGTCACTACTTTGACTGCTGCTATGGTAGTTGTTCCTGGCTAATCTTCAAATTAGCCAGTAAGATTTCTTAAGTATGGCAATAGAGATCTCCACAGAGCTTAAAAGGTCAGCCACCAAACAAAAAACAAAAAAAAAACCAAAACACAGCAAAACTCAAACAAACAGATGTACCTCTATGCATTCCTTTACACTGGATCTGGCAATTCTAGGACTGGGAGATTGAGTCATCTTAGTAGTGATCAGAATTATGGCAGAACATAGTTAAGGGTTTTTCTCCTATTCTTGAGATACAGTGGATACAATTTTTGAGTGTCCATGAGTCACTTTGGAAAGTGAGATATGGGGTTTATGCATGATGGAAAGACTTCTGAAAATTCTACGTTGCTCTTGCAAACTTTTAAAAAAGGATGACCCATTTGAGCAAGGTACCTTCATTTATCTAGACGTTATTCAGGTGTCCAAACCCTAAATGTTGCTTTAAAAATGTGAAGTGTTTTTGAACGTTCACTTATACATACGTTGGAATTAAACTGCTTGCTGTATAGTCCAGAAGGGTTAAGTACTGGAAAATAGGCTCATGCCTACTTGAATATATATTTTTGCAGAGCACATGCAAAATTAGTCTGGCAAATTTCTGCCATACAAATTGTTGCTGTATGTGACCTTTTTATCCTAGTAGGACCTCTGAAGTCAACAGAGCACTGCGGCTCAGTGCTATTACTTTAAAGGTGGAAGAATCTGACTTACGGAAAACAAAAATGTTATAAATGACTTACAGTAATAGTGAAGAGCAATGCCATTTTGGGCTTTGATGTCACTAACGTGACAGTTTTGTGTCTCACAACATTTTCCATGCTAAGTTTAATGTCGCGTATTGCAGTTGATAGCGTAAAATTTTGAAGGTGGCAAAGATCTCAAGAAGTTATCTGGACTCAGGGCAGAAGTTTTCAATAAAAAATAAGAGGATAGGAAGCTTTGACTGCTGCTGTTGATTCATGTATCCAAAGTGATTAAAAGGAAAATGACAGACATCAGACCTAGGAACATCAGTTCCGCACCAAGGACATTTGTCATTATACGTTTTGGAGAGTAATGGTGCCTATAGTCCAGTCAAAGAGAGTGGAGTGAATGCTGTGAGGTACAGCTCTTCTCTCAGACATTGAAAATGGTATGGAAATTGCAGAAACGGGAAGTTTTTTGGGGAGAGAGAGACAGAAGAGACTCTCAAATTCCTTCCTGGTAATGATATATCACTGCTTTAGGGTAACAGTTTATGAATTAGTATTGTGTTTCGAACAGTTTTAAACTATGATGAACATGCCTCTTAAGTGCACAGTACAATTTACAGCTTAAGTAGTTTGTGCTTGTGTAGAGTATTGGCAGCACAATACAAATTCATTGCATCATTATATGACAAACTGTAGGATGGTTTTCTTGAATTTTGAGATATTCTGCAAAAGTAGACTAACAGGAAACTGTAGAGCATCTTGTGGCTGAGCAGATTTTTGTTATCATTTAAGTGAACAGCGGAACAATGACAGTTTTAGAGATGATATTCTTTTAGAAATGGAGACTCTATTCCAAGCATTGCGTCTCACTTAAACTTGCTGACAGGGCTATTGGAGTTTAGGAGATGAGTACAGGTTGCATAACTCTGTTGTACAAGCGGATAGTTGTGCCAGAACCAAACAGAATGGTTCACTGAGGGTTATCTGTGAAGAGCTAGGGAGGGATGATAGACTCCAAGCTTACCTTGTCTTAGCAACCCAAAATCCTGCACGAAGGAGTGCAGCTGCTGTTTCATGTCAGAGGAATCGCTGTGTTGAAGCGCCGCAACCAAGCACAGCCCTACCTGCAGGTGCGAGGATGGCCTTTCCGCACCGCAGGCCACCTCCTCAGGCTTGCGTGAAAATTTGAATTTAACCATTAAGACTGTTCTTTCAGTCCTCCCAACTCTAAGCCTTTTTCCCCTCCCTTTTCCATTTGTGCATGTGTTTGAAAGCAGGTCTCTGCTGCCGTAACTGTTTGCAAACGCAGAACTAGTGGGATTTAGTGATCTTTTGGAAGCAAAAAATCAATAAAAGCAAAAAAAGGTGAGAAAATATCTACAGCCCTGGTGCTGCTTCGTGTGCTATTTGTCAGTGGTAGAGCTCTTGGCAGATGTGAACCTGTTACCTCTCAAAACTGGAATCTCGCTGACCTAAATTGTGGGTCCTGAAAACCTGTGGTACAATTTTACACCTTCCGTTCCTACATGCAGCATATGTAGCAATAGTTTCCTCTCACAGAATTTGTTCTTTGAGAAAATGCACTTCTGGAGCATTTAAGTAGCATGATATGTAGGAAATTCCATTGCTTTGTAAGAACTTTTTTCAAAGTTGTATTCAAGATGATTAAGAATTAGTAAATGTAAATTAAATGTAATAATGTAAATAAAAAGACAAAATAAGAACCTGAGTAAAGTCTTTCTGCAAGGAATACTAAATAGTGAAATTAGGAAATCTATCATGTTCCTAATATGTCATATATTATTTAATTTTTGTTGCCTGATATTAATGTCTATACTTTCAAGGTCTTGGAATTTAATTCTCAGTAAGGTTCACACGTAATACAGATCTCCTTTTTAGCTTGGAAGTTAAAAGCATCAGCAGCCTGTTAGTTATTTATTTGGATGAAAAAGGCAGCTTAGATTTCACAAATTGCATTTTTTTCCCCATGAATTTGTCCTGAATTCCTCATTAATCAAAACGTACATCCTTTCAGCTTTTAGGCACTGGTATCTCTGCATGTAGAAAGAACAATGCAATCTTGTAATCAGGCTAATTCACAGAGGCACACAAAATCTAAGTACTACGAAACAGCACAGAAATACCACATTATGCAAACTTCTGATGCTTTGAGTAAAAAGCCCGCCACTCTCTCTGTGATATTTCTCATATCTTGGGTTACAGCGAACTGCAGGTTTGCTTTAGCACAAGGTCCTGTGCATCTCTCTCTTAATGTGAGCTTTCAGTACAAATGCTTAATTTCTTGTCCCTTTTATGTTTGGCACCAGCCCTTAAAAAGGGTCTAGGCAGGCTTTTCTATTTCTGCCTTTCTACCTACCTGCTTTAAATGCACAGGCTGAATTCTGTAGCTGTTAATGGAATAAAACTCCCGTTTATATAAATAAGGATTGGAATATTTGATCCAGTATGCAGATAATCTAAAATGTATCAGAGTAATGATTACCTTTAAATGCTAGGCATGGTATTCCAGGTTGCAGTATCTCTCCAAAAGAGCAGTAGTCATAATGCAGCTCGCATGCTGCCAGCAAGGTTTGGCTGATCAGGTCGAGGAGCAGCCGGTCGAATGAGTGTGTTGTGAAGTTCACGCTGTCATGTAGAACGGCATTTGCCAAACAGGCCACACACTTCCTCTCCGAGAAATAAGGAAGGCTCAAAGTGTTTGCAACAGATGAGGTTCCTGTTGCAAGTGACTGCTTGAGACACTTTTTATCTGTGGATTGAGGAAAAAAAAAAAAGGGAGGTTTTAAGTTTTTTGCATCAGGGTTGGTTTGATCAGATATAAAAATTGACCAAAATTACCTGTATTTTGCGTTAGTTACACAGAAAAGGATTCTCTTTCTCTCTCTTATGTGTTTACTTATTTATTTTTCCAGTGAAGTTTAGTCCCCGAATGTTTTGTTTTATGTAATTTTGCTAGATTTTCAGGCAGGCAAGGAGAGGCACGAAACTTGTCTTCCAATCTTACTAAGCATGAATGCATATTCAAGATTTTCTATTTTTCACTCTGTGCTTCAGCTGCTTGCAGATAATTCAGTGTTGCATATTAAATATCAGCCATGAAAGAACATGGATTTAAAGCCTGTCTGTGAAGAATATTTTCATATCAGTATTGTGCAAAGCAATAAAATAGCCACAGGACCTCTCTCGTCTCAGTGTCTGAGATGGTAAAAACAAGATACTGGCCTGTTAACTAACCTGACCAAAGCCACTTAGGAAAACAACAGTTGGGATATAAATACAACAGTGGAAGGGATTTATGGAAGTTTGCCCTTTGCTTTTATGGCCAAGATGTATTCTGACAAAATCATGCAAGTCACCTTACACGATACAAAAAAAATACTGACTTCACACCAGAAGAGCTGTGAGTACACGCTCAATGCAATGAGCAATGTAACGTAAAATAATCTGTTTCCTGATGGAAGACTAAAAGTTGATAAGTGTGGGAACTATTGGATAAGAGCTGTTGGAAATGGGGACAGTGATTAAAGTCTCAGCTCCGTGCTCAAATTTGGGTCTATGGTACTTAGAGGAGGAATTTTTATATATTTATTTGTAATGTGTCAAATGTTAGCAAATGAGTTTTTGACACAGCAAGACAATGTTGTATTCCGTGCTCTGAGGAGCTGGTTCTATCGTAAAGCTGCATAATTATCCCCACCAATTAAACTTTGTTTTTTAGGATGTTACTGCTTTTTTCAAATCAGAAGGATGTAGCGTACGTATTCCCTAACATCATTCACCAAACTGAAGTAAAATGTCAGCTGAATTACTGAGAGATCACAGTCTGTCCGTACCCAAGGTGGGAATATGCAAGGGCAGAACTCTGCGTTTCAGTGACCCTTCTCGCTAATATCTGCCTTAGGCCGTGTTTGTGCCTTTATAAGAACTCAGATTACGTCCCGAGAGGCACACCAAAGAAGAGGTTGGATTTTCCTAGTGGAACATGTACCATTGGGACCAACAAACCTGAGCCCCTGGTTCTACCACACTCAGAGGAACAGATGAGTTTGCAGTGAGGGGAGGTAACTCAATTTCTCCCTTTCTGCATCATTTCTGCCTGTTTCTGGTGGATATTTTACTCTGTATAATGATGGGAGCCGGTTTACCTTTTCAGTGCATTCAGGTAATAACTTGTTGATAATGTAGTGGATAAGATAAAATTCGTATCTAAATGGAAGAAAGTTTTGCTGTGAATTCAGTAGGGCTTTATATGTCGTCTTAGAAGTATTCATATCCTGTTATTCAAGTCACTAACCTGACGCAGACCCTTAGTGAGTCACTCGAGAGAGAGGAACGCTGCACTGGCCGGGCTGCCTCTGATTATAGCAAAGAATCACATACATACAAAAAGAAATTTTACTTCTTCAAAGCACTACTGTTGATGGCAGAAAAATACTGTTTCCCCATTTTTATCTTGAAATTATAATTCTAGTAGAGTATAGGGGAAAAACCATTTATATCTCAGTCTCCCTTTGCCTCGCTGGACTGAGCTGTTGGTTCCCTATCTCATTTGTGCATTAGTGTTTGCCACAGGTCTGCTTTACATGTCATAGAAGCTTCCTGAGCTGGTCCCAAAGGTTTTTACTCCTCTATTCTTGCAGGCAGACCGGTCTAAAAGATTTGAAAAATGACATTAATTTCTTCCGGTACAGCCCTGCAACCTGGATGTTTTGGGAGTTTCATGGCTCTGGCACACTTGCCATCATTCAGAATTAGACATCTAAGGAAAAGAAATGCAAGACACTGAAATACTACTTTGCAAGAAAAAAGGCCCAAAAGGAAGAAAAAGGAGGGGAAAAACACTTCTGAAAATACTTTAAATCTAATCTTTTAGAGAGCAATCTCTTAAGCTTTTTGGAAAGAAGATTTAGTGGTTGGTTACTTGTAGCATATTTATTTTTACAGAGGGAAAAACAAACAGGATATAAACAGCCTCTTTAATCTGGTAATGAAAGAAACAGGCCCTGAAACTGAAGACATCCTCAAACAGAAACAAGGTACAGTTTTCTGTCAGTGGAGTGATTGTCTTCAGGCACAAATGGCAATGGAGAAGAGATTCTCCATTTCTCCATTTCTTAGTGTCTCTGAATGCAGCTTAGATGCTTTATGGAAGATCAAATTTTAGTCAAACTCAAGCCATGTTTTAAGTGATAGGAAGCAGTTGAGCTCAGGAGTCAGGAAATGGGAAGGGCCTTGGCTATCCTGGAGATCAAACCAGATGGTCCAACAGATACTTCTGGCTGTTAACTGCATGCATCTGAGCCTGGGGAGTGCCTGGCTATCTAGGAACGCTATATTTAACAAATAAAATATTGTTTTACAGCTCATCTTGTTTGGAAAAGTAGAAGCCTTGGGATATTTCATTGGTTTGATGATCGGATTTTCACTAGATATATCCCATTCTCACTTTTCGGATGGTGGTATCATCGTTGTTTCTATCGTCTCTGCTGTATTTTCAGCAGACAAAAAGTCTGCTTCAGAAGGAATCTGCTACTTTATAGCTGTCCGGCCTGTGTTACCTTGAAGGGAGTATGTGTGTGGAAGCGATGAACGTGGTTAAAGTAGGGTCTGCGGTTTCAAGTCAGGCTGGAAAAACAAGACATTGTGATGTGAGGAGAGGAAGAAGGTTTTGGGTTTACACAGAGTGGGTGATTAAAAGTAATTGCAGTGAAGTTTCTAATCATTAGATCTCTGGTGAATCATTTTTGAAAAGCTTTGCAGAAATGAGTTTCCACAGGAATTAAAAGAGATTTAGCACTGCAGCACATATGGCAATTGTCCTTTCTAGGTGCGTTAGGAGACAGAGGCACAGCCTGCAGTAATAGTCTATGTATTCTTGTGTATTATCTCATTGAGATAGCAGCAAGAGGTGCTATTTAACTAAAAAGTTCCTCCACCGTGAGACATCTGAAGTGGAAAGCTGGGTTTGCCTAGGTGAGAATACCGCTAGATGTGACCAAGAAGCTGGGGAAGATTTGAGATGGGCATGATATATCTGTGCAGGTCTGGGAGGCAGGGTATCCCAGGAGAGGAGTTTGCAAGAGGTATGAGGTTCAACTCAGCTGACCACAGCTTAACATCGGAGCCAGAATTCATCTTCGTATGTTATCAGTTTCATTCATCAGCTTCTGCTCGTTTGTGAGCTGCCACAGCTCAGAGCTTCCTAGCTTCTGAGTTTCAAAACTGGCTAGCTTAACCTCTAATTTTGAAAAGAGAAATAAGAAATGCTTTTAAAGTTGCTGGTCTCTGATCTAAACCGTGCTGAAAACTTCACCTTCTATTTTCAATGCCGTCACTTGTTACACTAGCTACAGTTACCCACGTTCACTGCAGTGGTCTCCCTATTCCTGTAAATTTGGAGGAAGAATGTAATATTCCTGTTCTGGATTGCACAGCTCGGCTGCAGCTATGTCTCAGCAATTCGGTACTAAACGCTTTCATATGAACCGTTGTCAAAAAAGTCATCAGAACTTCCTCTGGTGACAGCGACCAATCCATGAGGACAACTGAAACAAGAAGTACCTGTGGCTTGAGTTCCGTGTAAGCCCTCTTTTAAATGACACTCAGGAAGTACCCTGTGGTGCCAGGCTTGCTGACTTTTGTGATTTTATAATAGATCTCGTACTGTTTAGAGGTTTACTTTCTTAAAAAAAAAAAAAAAAAAAAAAAAGAAAGCTCTCCAAGATTTTCTGAAGATCTCAACTGTTAGTTTTAACAAGTAATTTATAGCTTTTATGTTTATAGGTCGAGGAGGATTACTGAAGAGAATTTAAGAAGAGAAGACTAGCAAAAGGAACACAGTGTTTGTTTTTTGAGCTGATCTCATGATTTTTGGTTTCCTGATTCATGATTCTGTCGTGTTGGTGGTAATACGAGTGTCATTTAATGGAAATGAACAGTCTCTTCTCTCTTTCTACATCTGTCTAAACAGCCCTATTTTCTTTAAAGCACACAACTCCTGCGTTACTGGCTACTGAGACTAATCGCACAAAGAAATTACAGTTTCTATGGGGAAAGAGACCAAGGGAGTCCAACTATGTTATCCTTCTTATGTCCTGAGCCTGCCTTTTAATGTGGCTATAGTATTTAGGGAAGATTTATGTTGAATATGAAAACTACTGGCTCAAAAATGAAGAAATTTAATTCTGGGCACTCTCCAGCTTCTGCTCTCACTTATTTATTCCTGAGTTTTGTGATGAGGGTGAGAAAACAATGAGCCTGAATTGTGGTGTGAATTTGAAAAATAGAGAACTTGCTCAGTTTTACTTGCCTAACTTCTGCAGTAAAAGAAGCCTTATTTCCGCAGCTTGGAACAAATTGCAGATGCATTGGAGGAAGGGAACATAAAACTATTTCTTGCACATTGCTTGAATGATGTCCCAAGTTCGCCTACCACCCACTTCCAATCCCTCCCAGAATTAAATATGAGTAACAGTACTGGACTCTGCATCACTTTCAAAGCCTAAATGCAAGACATGCTTCCTGAATATGGATGTTATCGAAAGAAACAGACTGAGGAAGTAGCTTTTAGCCTGGAAAACAGAAGAAACGAGTAGAAAAAAAGTAGAGCCTAGTACGCCTGTTGTAACCACTCATACAAAGAAGAGAAAATATCCACAGCTCGAACAAGGATCCAAACAAGCACTCTGTCTCTTGACTCCTTCCTG